TTTTAAGAAAATCGAAGATTTTTATAAATAGCTAAAATTTTAATATGATTTGAAATTTTAAAATCAAATAATCAAATTAAATTCAAATCCAGATTTTATTTTATTTTATTTTTATTTTTTTATTTTTTTTATATTAAGGTGTCCTTCAGGACCGAGCTTTATTGATGTTTTGTCGTTGACCATATGGGTCTACATTTTAGTATTTACATACTTTACCAATTATTTTAAACTAGGTACCTTTATACCAAAGTGTCTCCTGCTAACCTTTTTACCTGAACTAGGTTACCCTGGTTATCTATGGGTCTCTCCAGGTGGGCGTAGCAGATGTCACCTAATCCTTCTATGTTTCACATATTTCCAGACTAGGCTTTTTGAATACTTTCTGCAGCAGCCGAAACCACCACTAGCAGTCAGAACTAATCATTAAACCGTACAATTTCAGTATTTGTGCCTTTGTAAAGTTCATTCTGATCTCAATACTACATTTGACCAGTTCTGTTACCAATCCCTCCCTAACTACCAAACCAGTTAGCCTGGATGGGTCATTATACCTTGGCTTTAAGTGCCTTCTGGTTATACTTCCCTTGGTTTCTAATTCCGTAACATAGGACCTTTTCTTCTGATACGATTCTGGCGGCCAGGTTGGTGGACCCTTCTTGCCTCAGGGTTTTCTGTCCGGTTCTTCAGTCTCTAGTTCCGGTTTTCTTGCAGTATCGTCAAAGATTTTCACTACCTCCTTACTCAGGTCTTCTCAAACAGGCTTCTGCGACCTTTCTATGTGCACGGATTTTCATACTCAGTTAAAGAACTTATCTTGGGTTTGTACCACCCAATATCGGTTTGCATTCCTCTGTATAACACAGATGTCCCTGACCTCTCAAACAAGTTAGTGCGATCGCATTACAGGTGTCCATATTAGCAGATCAGTGTAGTACTCTAAAATTTAAAGATCTAATAAAAACACCCTAAAAATTTTTATATACTTATTTATATAACAATTAAATTTTATATATATATGTACGTACGTGTTTTTAAAATGATACAAACAAATCAAAGAAAATATGAGTATGAAACTAATACATATCTACAAGATCCTATAATAATCTACAAAACTCCACGTCAAAGTTTAATATATAAAATTATTTTAGAAGGCAAATACCCACCAGAATCTAAACTATTATATACTAGAAAACCTGGAAACTACAAAATCTCTGATAATTATATTGTTCATACTTTATATAGAAAAAAAAACAACCAAAAAACGGTTATTTGTTCAATTTATTATTGTGGAAAGAATGTAAGATTTCGAGTTGCTTATGGCGATAAACCTACTGATTATGTAGAATCTAAAGAAAGTCCTTCGGCAGCTGCAAATTTATATCAAAAAGTATGTATATTAAAAATTTACTTTGTTATTATTAAAATAATTTAATAAACTATATTTATAATTTAATAGGCTATTGAATCAAAACCAAAAAAAAATTCAAATAAAGAAAATCAAAAAAAAACTTCTGGTACAAAATGGAATGAAATTCTTTTATTTGGATTACAGTTACAACAAATACAAAATATTCGAGAAATGAACCAAATTAACCGTAGTTTAAAATCATATTCATTGTTAAGTGAATCAGGTCAACGAAATAGAAGTAAAAAAGGAGCAACTATGTTTTACCAAGCAGCTCAAGAGCAAATAAAAACTATTTTTCATAATGATGATATTGTTATATTAAATGAAATGAATTTTACTATTAATAGTCATTCTTATTCATTTGTTTATAATCAACTTCATAGCAATACAGAAGAATTACGTTTATTAGCAGTTGTTAAAGCAATGGACATTAGCAAAATATCACAATCAGCATATAGAACAATTGCTAATTTTAGTCAAAGTTTACTATGTGAATGGGCAGTTTCTGAAGCAAAAAAGCAACTTATGTATAATATGACAAGTCAAATAAAAACAGTTTTATTTGATCTTTCAACAAATTTATTAAATAATTCAACTGAATTAATTGATGAAGAAATTCATTTTAATGATCAAAATATTGTTGAATCAGTTATAAAATCAGTTAGAAAAGGTGCATATAGATCAATTAAAGATATTTTGGCTTATCTAATTCCAACATTAGTACAAAATAAAATATTAAATTTAGAGTCAAGAAATATTTACTTGCGAATCTCTGCAGATGGTCGCAATGTTGGACATAAAGTAAAGCATGTGATGTTTACATTTAGTATTTTAAATGATTTATCAAATATTCACAAGCCAGATTATCACCATACGTTAGTTTTTTATCCAGAAGTAGAAAAATATGAAAGCTTAGAAACTGCACTAGCACTTTTGATTTTAGATTTAGAGGATATAAAACATGGATTTATTGACAAACAAGGACGACTATGGAAAATTCATTTGTATTTTTCAGCGGATTGGAAGATGCTTGCACTTTGTCTTGGACACAAGGCAGCTAATGCTAATTATTTTTGCTTATGGTGCAACTGTAAGAAAGATGAGAACGGTAATTTTGAAAAAGACTGGAAAATCAGTAAAAATATCGATACTATTAACCAAAACTATATGAATATTGATGGATATATAAAAAAGCCAATCTTTTTTATGATTCCTTTACATCATTGGATTATTGATGAACTTCATTTGTTGCTACGTGTTTGGGATCGATTATGGTCTTTAATAATAGCAGAGCTTAAAGCCACTAAAAAATTTGATAGCAAATATTCTGAAATTATTGAAGAAATGAAAAGAATTAACGTTCATTTTGAATTTTGGCAAGAGGAAGAAACAACTAGTTGGAAATATACTTCTCTAATGGGAGGTGATAAGCTTAAGGTACTTTACAACTTCAACTTTGCAAGAATTTTACCTAACGATCGTGCAATATTAGTACGCAACTTGTGGAATAGTTTTGTCCAACTATATGAAGATATCAAAAATCCCGAAGTAACAAGTGATTAGTTTAAAGCCAAAGCCATCATCTGGTTAACTCTTTTTTTAACAAAATCAAAAGGAAATTTTAATTCCAAAATGTTTGTTAAAGGGTTATATCAGCCTGCCGATATAACACCTTATATTCATGCATTAGTGTATCACGTAGCAGAATTTAAAGATTTGCTTGCTAGTTTTGGACTAGCAAGTTATTCATGTGTTGCAGTGGAAAAAAAAAACCATTAGCAGGTCTCATATTTTTTTCAAAAAAGTTTGAAAGACGGTGGCAAAGAAGAAGTTAGAAAAGCTGTTATTTTAGAAATAATGGATTACGATACTAGAAATCTTTATTTTTATACTCATAATATACCACTTTTTTTGAAAAAGACACCAGGCTTACGATTCAATTACACTAGAGTAAATATACGCTATTATTTTATTTATATATCTCTGATATTATATATCAAAAATAATACTAATAGAATAAAAATTGGGTTTATAATTAGAAAACATTAAAGTGAAAAATTATCTTTTTTTTTTACCGGTTAATCTTGACGATTACATATTGTAATTATTAAATTAGTTTTATTTTTATTTTATTAATTCTGAATTGCTTTCGCTAAATCCTAAATTGATATTTACATATTGTAATATTGAAGCTAATTCTAAAATTATTGAATTTAATATCTTAGCAAATTTAATGACAAGTAAACCAGCACTATCGGTAAAGCATATCATTTCTTGAACCAATCCTTGAAATCTGAGCAATTCTTTGGTAATAGAGCTTCCATTAGTTTTTGCGATATCTAATATATAAGTCAATTATATATCGTCTCATTAGATCTTTTAACATTTATCTGTTATAATAAAGTAAGCAATATATGATGAGTTTAAAAATCGTATTAAATATATGAATGTCTTATTAATGTAATTGTTAAATTGGAAAACTAAAAACCAAAATCTTTATTCTGAAATAACATTTTAAAAATTCACATCTTTAATTTAAAAATTATAATCTTATAGACCATATAAAGTTATTTATTTGTTCTTATAACAGGGCAAAAAAAATAACCCACCTGCCCAAATTTTTATTTAAACATTTTTACTTTTAGAAGATCATAATCCGGAAATACATAGTAAAAATAAAAACTATAATTTGGGGAAATATAAAAATTAGAAGCATTATAGCTAAATTAATGCGATAGTAAATTACAGCATGAAGTGCTTTTCCTCCTTATAATCCAAGTTCATTCTACAAAGTAGTAGTATGTAGTTCTTGCGAAGTGCATTTTCTAATGATTTTCCTCAGTACATCCGCTATTGCTACCAATTTTCAGTATAGTGTTCTCAAAGATGTATCCGTGAGTGCTTTTCCATCTTGATTTAAGGTTGCTAGAACTAGGATTCACTAATAATAGTGTTGCATTAAAAATCTGAATATAATGAATACTGAATGTTGAGCACTATTCCTAAGATGTTTAGTAAAAATACAAATAAGGGACCAAAATCAAAATAATTACAGATAAGGGCCCAAAATAAAAATAATTACCGATAGTGCTAATCAACGGCTTCATCAGTATCCTCTTGAGAATGTATTAAAAATTGCCTTAGCTCTAACACGCGACCAGATTCTGTAACCCGTCACGCTATTTAAACAGTCAGATCAACTTTTGAATGATAAGTAGATCCTTGTGTTGCAATTTCTTTATCATCTAAATCTTGATCAATGCTTGGTCAATCTTCAGCTTGTAGTTCATAAGTAATAGCTTCCCCTATAAGGTAAAGCATTCAAGCAAAATGTTTATATTCCTGTATAAGTTTTGAGTGATCTGTAATTTCCCAAAACAAAATTCATCATGCTTTACAATGAAAAAAAAAATTTTTTCAAAGCGCACCTGCTAACATTTTCCTCCTTCTGATTCAAAAAAATCAATGAGGTAGATAGTCTTGCAAAATGTATCTACTATTGCTTTTCCATCATCTAATTCATTCAAGTTCACTATAAAGTCAGCGAGCTGTTGTAAAACGCTTTTCTTTCTTCTGACCCAGATATCTTTTAACTTATTAGAGAATTAAGTCTATTAGCTATTTTTGTATGTTTTTTAAAGTTTCTGATCAAGTTAATACAAATACAGTTCAAATGGGATGTACCAACCTCACCTAGTCCTGTTTTAAAATATTACACAATTCCCTTTGATAACATTACGGTACATTCGTTTTTCGCAACTCCAATTCCTTCATAATTACAATATCTGATCATAAAATCTGAGACTAAATGCTCTATACAACTTCGTCTTTATAACAATTTCACACAATTGTTCATATGTGCCATTAGCTTGACTATTCTTTGGTACTATAGAAAAGTATATAATAAAAAAAATAAGCTACGTATCACTGATATAAAATTAACCACTTAGAACTCTGCAAGTGCCGGCCATTGTTAGAAATCATATGTTAACAGTATTCACAAGAGCATAAATTTTTTAAAAAAATCAAAATTTTTTTAGCACTATGTTTTAATAGAGCATGTCGGCATTTGCAGAGCTCTACAAACACTAAAGTAAACCCGAATATTTGCTTAAACTCCAAGCACAAGCAATTCTCGAAACAATGGATATTTCGAACCATAACTTAATTCAGGCATAATCTGAAGCTGTACCTCTGGACATTATTCAAGATTTCACGGTACTAGTTTTTCTTTTACTGAGTATAAAAAGCCTGGTCGTGTAGGGTTAAAAATTCTATTAGAACCAATTCATTATTAAATATTAATTTCATATAAATACATAAATTTTGAGTCACCAACCTCAAACACGGACTTATAACAAAAATTTTGACGTTCGCAATGAGACGATCTTCGTCCATTTCAACCATGTAATTTCAATAATAAATGCCCAGCGTATATCATTAATAAATATCGATTATATTATACTCTTTAACTGCGATTTGTCACTTGACTATTTTTACCCTTAGTCACTAAAATCATTTCTATATGTTATTTCTTTATTAACAATAACAAAAATAATGAAAAAAATTCTATATACAATAAATAAAAAGTTAAAAATGGTATAATTAAAAAAAGCCGTATCTGTTGTGAATCCTAAAGTTAAAAATCTGTCTGTGCATTCATGATTGATAGTATCTTTTATTCCTCGTTGTTCTCATTTAACTTTCATTTCAAACTTGGCTGTATTTTGTTCTTGAGGTAAAGTATCAAAACCTGAATTCTTTGTATTGTTATAAACATCTTCAGTTTGTGTTGGTGTAAATAAAATTACAGCAGTTTGCTGATTTCCCATATAATGGCGAATACCCCAATTGTTATCACCAAAAATTGACTGCAATGTTTCATATGCATATTCACCTGTAAACACACATTCATAGGTTTGTTGGGTAGGTGCATATCATGCAATATAATTACCAAACACCCCTATAAATTGACTTTCTAAACAAGGAATGGTAATACATCGAGATCCAACTAAGCTGCTATGATTAGAGAGTTGATGTTGAATCAAATAAACAATGGTTTCTTTAAACTCATTGATAGCTTCTTCTGGTAAAGATATTAAGTTTGCACAAGGAATGTTGTATGTGCCGTGAGTATATCTTTCATATTAAATAAGGCCTTGCTTGTTTTTAAAACTTTTTTGAGCACATAGTGTACAAAAAACTCGGGTATTTGTTGTAATGTCACCAGAAATATGGTCTTGCAATTTGTGAATACGGGTATTATGAATATTAAAACCACGCTTATTTTTAAATATTTTTTTAGAACATAATGTGCAAGAAAAAATTGCATTTGAAGTAGATTGTGAAATACTTTGACTCATTTGAATGAATCTAAAAAAAAAAAAAATGCTATAAGTTCTTTTTTTTAAAATTAAAATACAAAAAATTATTATAACATCTCTATTTACTATAAATATATATATATATTTTTTTTTTTTTTTTTTTAAACCTTCGCAATATCGCGAAAAGGCGGATTTTATTAGGTATTTAGATAATACATTCTTGGTTACCCTATCCTGTACCATCTACCACAATCATGCCGTCCCATAACCTCGTGCTGCTTCATAACCTATAGCAGAAGTGTTCTCCGGCTGTTTTGTTTTTACCGGTTTTTCCTAACGTTTTAACTATACTATAGGTCTTAACTGAAGACCACCCAGATCGACATCTGCTATACTA